CCAGGTGTGGTACCCCACAAAGTCTCTACCCAAGCTGTTGCCTCGCTTCCAAATTCCCCACTTCACACCTCTGTCCCTCTTCACGCTTTTGTGCTGGCCTCTCTGCCTGCTACGCCCTCCCTGCATTGTCAACTCCCACTCATGACTTAAAGTCCAGCGCAAGCCTCACCTTTTCAGGAAGGCTTTTCTGATGCAGCCTCTCTCCTGGGTCCCTCCTGGTTCTTCCACGACATCTGCCTATCTCTCTGCCATGTTACTCACAGGGCATTTTAATGGCTTCTTTGTCTTTGTCCTCCACCATACTGAACAACGTGGGTGTCAGAACTGCGTTCTGTTTTCCTTTGCACAAAGTGGTGTTGAGTTAATGTGTGGCTCAGTAAGTAGATGAGTGAACGAATGGGAGATCCATTCTCTGCCCTTGGCATGCACTTCACCTGGGGTTGCCAGCCTTACCAAATAGAAATGCAGGGTGCCAAATTAAGTTTGAAATTCGGATACACAAGAAAAAAATTTCAGCACCAGTAGGTCCTAAATACTGCATGGGACATACTTATGCCCCCAAATCACTCGATTATCTATAATTTACCTGAAATTAAGATTTACCTGGGCCTCCTGGCAGGCCTACCCTAGCAAAAAAGTGAGTTCCCACCCAAAGTAGAAGTTCACATAATGCAGAAGCTGGCGTTGAGCTTGACCTCCCATGCCATAAGATGCCTTCCATCTCCGATTGTTCCACAGGTAAACATCTCCCTATATTCGGGCGCGCTGGCTTTGCGTGATGCTCTTCCATGTGCCCTTACGTACACGTATTGTTTCTTTGCATGGCCAGAATGTTTATTCTACATATAAATGTGTGCTGTGGACAGGTGGGCGGTGCGTACTGGTGAGTCACCTCCTGGTGTCCCTGTGGTATATGTGGCTCTCTGTTGTTCTCAGATGGTGGTTGTGGGGCATCTGAGAAGGGAGCATAGTGTGTCTTTGTGTTCCGAGGTGCATGCAGAGAAAGCAGCGGGTACCTGCCTGAAGTCTATAAGCCCTGGGTGTGGGTGTTAGGTTTTCTTAGTGTGACTGGTGCAGTAAAGATGGAGCCTGACAGGGAGAGACACACTGTCTCCAGGCTAACGAGATCGCTTCTTTAGCACCTCCCCTGTGAAAGTACCAGACGACTGTGCATTCTTTTTGATTGAAGGACCGTTTTCTTTTCGACATAGAAACACCCAGCTTGTTAACAGTTTATGTTTCAGATGACGAAAGAGCGCATTTCTCTGTGACTGGAAACAGAATTGAAATGTGGCACATTTCATCTTCCACATTCCCTTTCTTTCGTCCCTCTCACGCCAGAACTGATACTGATGAACGTTCCATGGCCAGGGCCGTCGGGCAGAGTTTTGCATGTTTAGCCCTCAGGAGTCAGACACTCTCTTAGGGAAAGCTGAGTTATCATGGCCGAAAGATTGGCCAAAAACAGTCATGAAACATTTTTGCGGCCTCAGTACCATGATCTTGTCAGTAAAGCGATGGTCTCTGATTAGATCCAGATTGAGCTGTTTCCTGTTAGCGTGCTAACCCAGGGGCGGGCTCGGCCTCCCTGTCTTGCCTCTAAGTCTGGGTTATTAAACACTCGTCTGCCAAGGCTCTCCGCCTGCCTCCCCACAGCTTTCCTTTTAAACTAGAACTCAAAGGTATCGAGATACTACAAACAAAAAGATCCTAAAGCCTCTTAAAGGGCTATGTCGCTTTTGAATATTTTGCTGCAAAAATGAAACCAACATTTTAGTTTCTCCAGTCCGACCATAAGGCAGAGTCTATTTTTCATGTTTCACTTGTGTATAATTTTACTTCACAATAATTCTAGTAATGGGCAGATGACTTTAATTTTTGTTTTTCATTAGGAAAAAAACCCATCTTCAAAAACCTGGTCCTTCCCTTGCTATAGCAAGTGAATGCGAAGGTGCTTAGCAGATGTGTAGAAGGTGGCACTGGGCAGGGCCCTGACACCCCAGCACACACCGTTAATTTGGGGGAGAGTGACTTTAGGCACCAGAGCAATTCCTGTGCTTCATTTCATGATATTGCCATCGCTGCTCACTCATTGCCCTTAGGGAAGGATTTTTAAAATTGAAATATTCAAAGTTTTTTATTAGCCATTCTGTTAGCTCAAACCCAGTTCTTCCTAATTTACAGATACAAACACCGAGAACAAAAACCATTACGGGACTTGTGGGCGTCAGGCACGCACACTGAGATTTTTTTCCAGAGGAAAAGGCAGATGGACAGGAAGCGACGGGGTTAATGGGCAGCGTGACTCCATTCCCAGGGGGGAGGGTGGCTCCCTGCCCGAGCTGCTTTCTGGCAGGAAAGGGACCGTCTTCATCAGGTCTTTTGACAAGCATTCTTCTCTGTGTTTGAATTTTTGGCCACATCAATGCTCAGTGAAAAAATGAGTTCCTTTAAATAGTTATAACTTTCCATAAGAAGAGATTTAGTTTTAAATTGGAATTTGCATTGCGAGTAAAATAAGAATCATCAAATGACAAAGCTGTTTGGGAAGGGAGCCCTGACGTTGTCGTAGGTAAGGAAGGTCGATTTAGAAAACTGGAGCCCGAAGATTCCTGCGTCCGAGAAGCTGTTCCTTTTGTTGCCGTTAATACTTGCCCTCAAAGTATGTACTTTGACTCTCACTTTTTAACATTGTCAGGCTGATAAGTATTTTGGCCAGGCCATTTGAAATGACAAAGTAAAACACACAAAACATCTCTAAATTTGGGTATTAAGAAAGAGATCAAAGAAATATAGATGTTAGAAGATAAAAAAAGGAACGTTTCCCAAACTTTGGTCATTCTAATGGTCCGCACGACCCTGTGAGAATAAAGGGAAGCTCATTTGCAAATGTCGTATCAAATCCTCCTTCTGGGATTTGATCACATGTCAGCTTCATCACACGTCAGCCTATGGAAGACCTGAAGAAGCTCGAAAGTGAAGTCGTGTGTTGACTCGAACTCTAGTTCCCCAACTGGACCGCGGCACCTTTCGATCTGAAACTAGTGTTTCGCAGCACACACAGGGCAGCACTGGATGGAGCACTTAACAGTGTAATTAGGCTTTAAAACGAGGTATCTTTTTCGTTTATTGTTTCCGGTTAAGTTAACTGCGGGGAGACAGATTAGGCCTGCTCTGAAGCTACACACAGAGAGATAAAGAGCAGTCACTAGGCCGGGGCCTGAGTCAGCAGGCCTCAGGGAACAGATGGTGTCTGCCTAATCAGGTCCCCCTTTTTAGTAAACTAAAAATATCTTTCAAAATTAAATAAAGACATAAAGTCATCCAGCACGTAAGCTGGCGAGTTCGTGTGGGTTCCCGGGAGCAGGTAGACCTGGTGGCATTAAGGTCTTCCCACGCCCCTCTGAGAGCAGCCGCCAGGACTTTGGTTTTCAGGAGGCAGTCCCGCCTGCTCACCGCCTCCCAGGGCTTGAACTTCCGACAGGCCAGGGGAGAAGAGGCAGGCACGCCACGTAGTAAGCCCTGTCGCCACTTAGAGGTTCCGTCTCCTCTTCTCCACCCCTCTCCTGGAATTTTCACATGCCTGACTCTTTCAATTTAGAAGAACTTGATATAAAACAATTCAAACGCACAACTCAGAGAAATTGCCTGGTGATTCTTTGCATCACTCGGGATGATTCCTTGCTTTAGAAAAAGATTCTCTTTGGAGGTCATCTTCCCTCGTGCCAGTGAAGGACAAGTTAAACTTTGAATACTGTGTCTCTGTATAATTTGATTAGCACAGATTTATTGTAGAATATAAAGTGTGCCCATATCTTTCTTCCATCTACTTCTCTTCCTTTGTACTCACTGTTTAGGCTTTACAGACTTTATCACTAATCCCTCCTTAGGTATTATAGTACGCCTCCAAGGTGCAGTTATGCCTACTCATATTATTCACAGTTTTATTTTCAAGTGACAGCTGCTGCTGCTTCTCTTGAACAAATGTCTTCTCTCGTACATTGCAAGTTTCCAGAAGGAAGAAGTCATGCACTCACCCACCCACCCTTTCCATGACTCCCCGGGAATCAGCCCAGGGCAGCTCGGTCAACTGTGCTGATTGCCGATGATACTAAATGAGACAGTATTTTGCCTCCCATGGACTGAAGAACATCAGAGCGTGGTCAGCTCTCCTTAGGTCTCCATGGTGCACACATGCCTACCATGGCTGATTTCTCACGAGACCAGCATGGTACCAGCTGGCTCACACAGATCCTAAAAAATTTGGCGATCAGCTGTCCAAATCCAGCGTGAGTCAGCTCCAGCACACCGCTCTTTAAGAATGTCTTTAAGAATGAGCTTGAACAGACTTACAGACACAGAGAATGAACTGACAGAGGCCAGAGGGGAGGCAAGTTTGAGGCTGGGTGAAATCAGGTGATGGGCTTAAGAAGCACCAATTGGCAGTTACAAAACGGGTGTGGGGTTTAAGGTAAAGCATACAGAATATAGTTAACAATGTTGTAATAACTGTGTATAGTGCCCGACAGGCACTTGGATTATCCGAGGGAACAGTTTGCACACCTGAAACTAATACAAAATAGTACTGAATGCAAACAGTAATAATACTTTTTTAAAAAGGATGAGTTTGAAAACTTACCATGGAATAATACAAAGGAAATGATGGACAGCATTTGCTGAACTCCATCCTGGGCTCGTAGAAAACACTCTTGATAAAATGTGTAGGCAACCTAGTTCTGGAAGGGATAGTGAGTAGAGGGAGCACATATAACCCGAGGAAGTAAAACCTCTACCTCTAGACAAGAAGGGAACACCCCGCTCCACCTCCCACCACTCCACTCTGCTGCACTCACAGCTGAGGGACGGCCTTACGGGACTTGTAAGGGAATTAACTAAGAGCAGGGGAGAACGCAGCAGGCTCTGATTCAACGGTGTCAGTGTTTTTAGTTGCACTTTAGCGAGCCCTTTCTCCTGGTCGTAATCACGCATTTCTTGTGCAGGTTGAAGGGGACCAGCTCCCTCCGGGACACACAGTCAGTCAGTACGAGACCTGCAAGATCAGGACCATCAAAGCTGGCACCTTGCAGAAGCTTGTGGAGAACCTGCTGACAGCTTTTGGGGACAATGACTTCACCTACATCAGCATCTTCCTGTCGACGTACAGAGGCTTTGCCTCCACTAAAGAAGTACTGGGCCTACTGCTGGACAGGTAAGGACCTAAAGGCGGGTGAGCAGTGACAGAAATGCAGGGCTATTTGCAGAGGGAGGGGTGAAGTTCCGAATTGCCTGCACCAGGTGTGCTGAGAGACCTGTGTGAGGAAGGGTTGAGGGGAAGGCATAGATTGAAGGGCGTGGAGACCACTCAGGAGCCACCGTATGGTCTATCCTGGTGAAGTTAGCTCATCAAAAATCTACAGAAGAGCTGGGGATACTTGTACACGCCATAAACTGAGACTCAGTTGTTTTAAGATTTCAGGTACTATTTGCCAGCCTGAAGTTTTATCCATGTCTTTATAATTTTGTGTAATTCCAGGAAATAATTAACCAAAATCTTATTGGGTTGTTGCAAGAATTAAATATGCTAATATGTGTTAAGTGTGGAGCTCAGTGTTAAGTCCATAGGAAGCAGCTAGTGAATGGGGGCTGGAAACGCGGTGATAACAACTGCCAGCCAGCACCAGGTGTCGGCGGCTGTGTGGACATGCGGTGAACCCGGTCCTGGGTCTGTGTCGTTGAGTCGCACGTTACAGGCAGTGGACCAGTGAGCATCCGAGTTCCCATGCCGGCAGTTCTGTCTCCCTCTGCACTTTTGTCTTACTAGTAGTTAAACTTCGTCTTTCAAAAAAGACGCCAGATGATTGTTTTAGAGTCATGAGAGTTCTCATCCAGATCCTTATATTCTGGGGTTTCCCGTAGAAGAAAGGAACTGAGATAGGATGTTTTTCTTGGAGTTGTCGAATACTGATTTTAACTAGATTTTTAAAAAGGAATTGACAGCGATGTGCCATCCTGTTAAAGATTGTCAGACTATAGGAGGGCATAAAAAAAAACAGGAATGTTTTCTCAGATGGCGACCTTTTCCCAAGTAACTTTCCCTAGGTTTAAAAAATATACAGGAGTAGAAAGAATTAAGCAGCCCATAATCTAATTAGGCAGATAACACATACTGGGGAACATTTCCTTTTCCACAAGCCCCATTTCCCGGTCTGGCTGCTCCTGGGTGATCACTGCTAACCCTGCCCTTTGGCTTCTTCCCGTTTTCCTGGACATGCGCACACATACATGTATGCACCTTTGTGCATCGCATGTGCGCCATCTGTTACGTGCAGTTACCTACTTAAATGTGATATTAATAGAATCATAATACACATTCTGTTCTATCAGTTTTTCACTTATCTGTTTCCTGGAAATTTGTTTATTCATCAAGGGAATCAACATATGTAAAGGGCCTATCAGAGCAGCAGCTGGCATTTCGAAAGCTCAAGAAACATAAACTATTGTTATTTCCAAGTCAGCACATGTAGGTGGATTTATCATATTCCTTTCAGTGGCTTTCTAGTACTCAGTGAATTGATTATTCTGTGGATAGACAGTTAAGTCTCTTCAGTTTTTTAATTAAAAAAAGGATTTTAAACAATGCTGCAAAGAGTATCGTTGAATATATATCTTCCAAGTATCTGTTTGAGAATTCTGTAGGATAATTTCATAGAAGAGAGCTGGACAGGCCAAAATATATAAGCATTTTAAAATGTGAAGGGCATCGTGGCGTTGCCCCAAGGAAGCCGCACCAGCCACACTGTCACGTACAGAGGGGGCGCCTCTTCCTGCCTTCCCTGCACCCCGGCCCGCTGCGCCGCCGAAACCATCTCCTCCACGACCTGTCCTCGGAGAAACAGCTCGTTGCTTTGGGACAGATGCCTTTTACATTTACGAGTGCGGTTTAGCATTGTTTAAAATTCTCTCAGGGCATCTGTGTTTCCTGCAAACTGCCTTTCCATATCCTTATTTTTATCTTGGATTATCATCATCTAATTATTGATCATTTAATTATAACTCTTGGTGTGTTAACAAAATTGGTTTTTTGCTTATCATATGTTGGAAACATTTCTCCTAATTTTTCCCTTGGCTTTGAAAGTTTTTTATTAATATTCTTATGAAGACATTTAAATACTTTTATGCAGTTATATCAGTTTTAGGAAAGGCCTTTTAATAATCAAATCCTATTCCGGTGTGAATAAGGTTATTAAGAACAGTGGGTTTTTCTCAAGGTATTTTTCTCATGGATGCATACGAATGAAATTGTTTGGATCATACATTCTGTGTATTCGGAGGCAGGAAAAAGTCTCTCCTTCATCGTACGTTGATCTGGCTGTGATAACTCTGGACTTAGGAAGTTCTGTAGGTTTTTTCCCAGTAGTACTTAAAATGTTAAGCCTGGAGGATAAACCTGTGGGATTAGTGAGTCATTTCTTTCATAGTTTGTTTGCTTGTATAATACCTCTCACCTATAAATAGAACCTGAAGAATTTTGGGAATTTTCTCTCTGCTCTTTCCGATTTGTACAAAGGCCGCAGGATGCTCACTGTTGGCAGGCAGCGGGAGGGGACAGGCCGACACGGCAGAAACTGCTGCGAGCTTTTCTGGGGATGGGTGACCTCTCCTACACCTGGGGTCACCCCATTGGTCACAGGCCACAGATGGCCCCAGTCAGTGACGGAGCCCGCGAGGGTTCCAGCTGTCCATCACAGACAGTGGCCGCGCACACAGGAACTCGAATGTTTAGTCTGTGACTCCAGGACATCCACCTCTTACGTGATGGCTTTGAAAGGGCTTCTCTTTGTCTCCCTCTCATAGACATTTTGGGGCTTTTAAAGTACTAACTGGATGACAGTGATTAAATAACAACATCAATATGAATTCAAATTACATTTAATTCAAGCTGTCATTTCAGGAATAATTGAATGGAGGGTTACGGTTTATCTTGAACCGCTTGGATGGCCTTGAATATAATCTCTTTAGTATATTTTCTTTTGCTTCTGAGGTGAGTGGAATCAACAAGCACTGAATGCCTGTTAAACTGCCCGGTGCTGCAAGGCTTCGTGTGGGTGAAGCAGAAATATGAGGCGTGGTTGGTTCTCAGCCGTGGGATGAACTTACCGTGAAGCTGCTGGTACTTCTCCTCTAGGGACCCTCACTTGCAGTGCCTTCTACATAATTGATGGTCGTAATTTTGTGCCCTCTTCCTGAGTGAAGATCCTTCAGATCATATATGCTGACCCCACAAAACCTGGATCCACTCTGAGAACCTAATATTTTACTGCAAGAGATAAGGTTTCCATTTATGAAACTGGACAACCACTGGGGGTGGTATAAAAATGAAACTCTAACATGTTCCGCAGAAGTTCGGAGACACAAATCCCATTAATTTTGCTCCCTCTGCAGAAATCTGGAGTTGTCCAGATGTGGACAGACTTAACGTGAATACTTTATTCCTGCTTCATTTCCCGTTCACGCTGAGCCCTTGTGACCAGATGTTCGTCCTTGTTTCACTTTAACCAAAATGCAGAATCTGTGCAGCACTGGATTCGTCTGTTGGTTTTGTGGGGTTTTAATGTCCCTAATTGGGAGGTAATCAATTCAGTTGTGTGAACTTACCTTTTCTGAAGATAAGCTGCATGTACTGTTTTATTGTCAGGAAATTATGGTGGACTTGTTTGCAAGTCCCTGGTGTCATTTTTAAAATAATGTCTCTTGGTTTCACAACAGCAGATTGCCTATCTTCTGTGAAATCGACACTGAGGAGTTGTCGTGGGATGTGCTAATCCTAGCCAGTCAAGAGTGGATTGGAGGCAGATGCTGTAGTATTTATTTCCCTCTGGAGAAAAGCCATTTGAAGTCAAGCTTTGGTTTTCCTTAAGACTTCCAATCATGTGGCTTTTCTTCTGTGGCACTATTTGCTTTCTGTGATTTAAAAAAAAAATCTTTTTATAGGTTTCTTTTTTTTTATCCTGCCAGGAGGCGCCTTTGTGTTTGACCAGTAGACGGTGGTTTTAAAATCCCACATGGCTAATTCCATGTGTTTGCTTTCTTCTGTACTTGGGGTGATCAGCAATTCACAAGGAATCCTGCTTTCTGTCTTCTTACCAGGGGTCAGAGTTAATCCGGGGCTCACCGGCTTTCTTTCATCCTCCGTGAAAGTTTTTGAATTGTGGTTTAGCTGTTTGTGTTGGGGCTTTGAGATTTTTATCTTCTCTAACTTTAAACATACATTCCACTTTAAAAATATATTCTTCCCACCACACCATTAAAAAGGGGAAAGAAATAAGTTTCCTCTGAAAATACCCAATGTCAAATGGAAGGAGAAACCTAACTCAGCTAGCTAGTGAACCTCACTGAGAACCAAGAAATGTTTGTCCAAATATTTATATTTTTCTGCAGACAGCTGTCACATTAGCTGCTTTGGGGATATTTCTCGATCATTCTCTCTCTTTCTGATCTGCATCTCCTATAGCACACATGAGCAGAATGCCCAGAACAAGCAGAACGGTGGTGAACGAGGTCCCTAGAAAATTTTGCTAAGTCACCGAGGGTGCTCAGGCCACAGCCGGGAAAGGACTGAGCGATCTTCTGAAAGAGCCCTTCATTCCAAGTGAGGTCTCCCAGTGAAGAACTTCTGCAGGGGATTAAGGCTGAAACTATCCGTAAACATTATGCTTTAAAACCAGTCTGGCTTGAATTTGCTTTCTGAGGTCACAGAGAGGAGACTCAGTCAGTGGGTCTTTGAACTTACTTCTTCTTCCCATGTTTGCTTGCCAAGCATTTTCATAGACACTGTCTCATTTAGTTTATTTATCGTGACGTTACTCCCTTGTTTACAGATGCAGTGATTGAGACAGAAATTTTCAATCAGTAAGGGGCAGAGCTGGAGTTCAGACGTACAGTTTTCTGACTTGGAAGCTCTTTCCCAGCAAACCGTATCGCCACCTCCCATGGTTTGTCACTGTGGGGTCTGTGCATCTGGCATGTTTCTGTTTATCTGATGTGCTCTGGCCACGTCCCCGGACCTCAATCTGCTCCCTCCCAAAGAGGAGTCTCCTTGGAGGACAGGACGTGAGAAAGCCTGGGAGGATTTTCATAAATACACTACCGCTACCGGGTTGCTGATCTTAGATCCGTGCTCCATGGCACCCAGCGTGGCCACACCAGGCA